TATTCCTTTCAAATAATTTGTTCTACTTTTCCCTTCAAACACCTTGTTCTACTATTTCCTTCACACAACTTGAACACAGTCCTTCATTCCTTATAACTAATGAAGTATCGGGTAGTATTTTCTGTATCCCTTCACCTTCCTCATTAAGGACGTTTAATATTTTAATTTTAGGCAGGAATTGTAAAAATTAATTCCAAGCAAGATAAAATAGGGATTACTGACATGAAAATTGGACATGCAAAATCACTGATTCCCTTTTTATGTACGATATGCCCAGAGCAGGAATAAAAACCTTTTTACCCTTTGTAGACCGCATGTCCTGTGTTAAACTGCGCATGTCCCGAATAATCCCAGTAATTTCCTCTTTCATTTCTCCAGAGGACCTTCAACAGATTTCTCAAGCATCAAACCTTCAGGACCTGTGAAATTCTCTCCCTGGAAATACAACCAACAGCAACAACAACAGAACCACTTTTAGCTCTATGGGTGTACGCATGTCTAAACTGAAATCACGTGATCAACCTGTCACCAATATTCTGTCTGTGAAGCTACAGTGATGAAACCTGGCAACACTTTCACAAGTGACAAAACTTTTGTCCTAAATGTTTGATTGGAACATTGAATATATTTATGTCATTTTCATTGAGCTTTCTTGCTTCAGGCTTGTGATTTGTGACCTCTTCGTCAAATAAATAAATTATTATTTTTGTATCTGCTGCTATTATTAGAGAAAATTGTGTGCTAAGAATAAGTAGGGTATGTAACATGATTGGCTGAGAAAAAGTTAACCTTTGGCAAAGAAAAGGCCTACCGGATGTGATATAGAGCATGTTTCAAAGAGTAGGCCCACCGGATGTGATAAGAGTATGTTTTAAAGAGTAGGCCTATCGGAGGTGATAAGAGTCTGTTGTACTTCCAGCCCTGTACAAAGCATTGTGACAAAACCAAACATTCTTTGTCATGTCATTTGTTCTCAGGACCGATGAAGGTTGCGGTCAGCACCAGACGGCACTTTTTTCTTTAGATGGAGAGACGGCATTTTCGGTCAACTGCAAGGGGCGGGGGGGGGGTTCGTGGAAGGGGTGGCAAAACATTTGGTCCTCCCCGGGTGGCATTACCCCTAGCTAGGCCACTGTTTGTTCTTAACAAGTCATCTGTGTATGATGGGCTGTCCTGCTAAATTGTGTGATTTCATCGGGGTTTGTAAGATGTTATATATTCGTGCGCTTCAAAATTTCACCACCGGCACTTGTACAAGTCAATTCGTGGATACATAAAAGTCAGTGCCGTACACTTACACATTTGCACCGGAACTAGACAGTGTTATCATAAAGTCATTTTGACCAGATTAGTGTTGGTGAGGAACCCATTTATTCCAGATCTTGAGATCTAACAACAGAGGGTGGATATGTGAATGAGGTTACAAAATACTTACAAACCTCCCCATTTACTTACGTACCAGTGGATGATACAATCGAGGTCTTACAATTCTTATGTCTAGCTAGCCATGCAGATACGAACATTAGCCTTTACGGAAGCTTTCCTCCAAAAATAGATTGTGACAAGAGTTATGTCAATATAATGTGTCACCTGGGGGAGGGAAGGGGGAAAAGATCGTCATTTTCACATCTCCTGGTTAAATTTTAAAAACACCGCTGGTGGAAGGAAAGGCTTGACAAATTGTTGATGAATGTTGAACAACTTTCGAGATCTCACAATTTGTTGGACACAGAATATTATAATTAAGTTTTCTTTTTATTTTTTTTTTTCTTTTCTAAAAAGACATCAAGAAAGATGTCTCTGTTCAGCAAAGAGATTTAAAAAAAAAAAAAAAGAATGCCCGAATCCTAGTGACAATTTGAAACATTTCTATGGATTACCCGGTACTTATAACTTATAGAGAGTGACTAACAATAAATAAATACAGTTAAACTATAGGCCTGTAATCTATGATTAGAGGTCAAGAGATTAATTTCAACAATGTGATATTTAGACATCTGTATGAGATAAAGCCTACAAGCCTATAATCTTCTAGAACTATTTTTATTGTCTAGGAATATCGACCAGTAGCCAGCAACACTTGGATTTCTTCAAACCCATTAAGGGCCTACTACGTGTATTGTAGAATTGTACCACTGCAATGTTATTGTACTGTAACACTACACAAGTGTAATTGTAGAAAAGTTTTGTTGAACCTTGTGTTTGTAGCACAAATGTTGTAATCCTTACCCTGATGTGATGATTAGCGACTGTGATGTTTTCCTTGTAGGATAAAAATGGCCGACTATCCAAAGGAGAGTTCATTGAGCATAGTGTAGGCCTACAGTACCACATGCATGTCTGTTTACTATAGAGATACTAGAAATATAATCTTGTATAGCTAGAACATGTAAGTGTATCTTTCCATAGAAAGAAGTTATTTTTTTCCTCACTAAGAACCTTTGTTTGTTTTTTCAAACGTTGTAAAAAAAATGAATTTGATGTGAAATTTTGTACATGTAGACCCTTAGCTACTTGAGTGTAGTATTTTAAGAGTGGATCCAACAAAATAAAGATTGTTCTATTTATAGTAAAGATCCTGTTGGTAAATGTGCATGCATTTACAATCTTTTCTTGCATAATGTGTCTGCTTTATTCAAGCAATTTCCTTTTACAGTGGTTCTCATGTTATCCAGATATCAATAAAAAATGAAATGCAGATATGGACCACAGCCAGTTTCCAGGATGGTATAGAGGTACCGTACTGTTGAACTGAAGGATAATCTGATGGTGTAGGGATACTGTTGAGCTGAAGGATAATCTGATGATGTAGAGATAATGTTTAACTATATGTCTATGGCAGCTAAACCATGGATTAATAAGGAAGTAATAATTTTTAACTACGGTATATGTCGATTGGCACCTACAGTAGGATTAATGAGGAAGTCAAACAATACCGGTACAAAGAAATACTTTTTTAAAAACAAAAATGTCATGTATGGTACCGGTTCTTACAAGTATGAAATAAATGTCCTCCAAAACTTGAGAGTTCTATAAGTCAAATGTCCTCCAAAACTTGAGAGTTCTATAAGTCAAATGTCCTCCAAAACTTGAGAGTTCTATAAGTCAAATGTCCTCCAAAACTTGAGAGTTCTATAAGTCAAATGTCCTCCAAAACTTGAGAGTTCTATAAGTCAAATGTCCTCCAAAACTTGAGAGTTCTATAAGTCAAATGTCCTCCAAAACTTGAGAGTTCTATAAGTCAAATGTCCTCCAAAACTTGAGAGTTCTATAAGTCAAATGTCCTCCAAAACTTGAGAGTTCTATAAGTCAAATGTCCTCCAAAACTTGAGAGTTCTATAAGTCAAATGTCCTCCAAAACTTGAGAGTTCTATAAGTCAAATGTCCTCCAAAACTTGAGAGTTCTATAAGTCAAATGTCTAAACAAAAATATTTTAAAAAAGCCTGGAGTGCGCAGGACATAGAAACAAAATGACGTCATATGACTTTTTCTTAGGTTGCTCTATCTGTTAGTTTGTGCAGTTGGAGATTAGGAAGTGGGTCGAAATTGAGATTCAAACTTTGACCCTCAGAGAGGTCACAAGAGCCAGTGGAGGTCCCTGGTGACTTACTGCATGTAGGGCTGCACTGACATCATGGGTGGGTAAGTGTTCAAACTCAAAGTATCAGCTCAATTGGAGATCTGGAAGTGGATCACAATTGAGATGCAAGATTTGATCCGCACAGGTCACTGTCGGGTGACTAAGAGATCCTTGCTGACCAAACGGATCACGAAGGGTTGTAATTTCACCAGAATAGAGTACCAGCGGACACTGAAGGGTGACTAAAATCCTTGCTGGCCAAACGGAACATGAAGGGCTGTATTGTCACCAGAATGGAGTACCAGAGGTCACTGTCGGGTGACTAGAAATCCTTGCTGGCCAAACGGATCACGAAGGGTTGTATTGTCACCAGAATGGAGTACCAGAGGTCACTGTAGGGTGACTAGAAATCCTTGCTGGCCAAACGGATCATGAAGGGTTGTATTGTCACCAGAATGGAGTACCAGAGGTCACTGTAGGGTGACTAGAAATCCTTGCTGGCCAAACGGATCATGAAGGGCTGTATTGTCACCAGAATGGAGTACCAGATGTCACTGTAGGGTAACTAGAGATCCCTGCTGACCAAACGGATTATGAAGGGTTGTATTGTCACCAGAATGGAGTACCGGTCCCCATGCAAATTTCAAGTCCATAGGACGAAAGGAACAGATCGAAAACTGAGTTACAAGATTTGACCCAGACAAAATAGCAAGCTCAATAAAACTTTTTTCATTGAAATTCAAGGATATTTTACCATTGCAAAACCAAAAATCAATGAATCTTGACATTCTTATTTACTTACCATATCAAAACAATTTTTCAATTTTGCCTTAACTAAAAAAAAAATTATAAACTTAAATGTTGAACTTGAGAAAACTGTTGGCTGATTCAATGCAAAGTCAGTTCAACATCAATATTATCTCCACACAAGGAAATAAACACAGGCCTTCCATCTTCCAAATTATACAATACTCCAGATAACAACAACGCTTTTGGCATTGAGTCTAATGGGACCCGGGTCCGAATGGTGGCGCTGCGTGTCCGGGGCCATTTTGACTACATGCTATTCGGATGTCATTTGTGGTCGTTTATTTTAGTTAAACTGAACAATTAAGTTTACAAACATCTAGTCCATTCAATTATCTTTCATTTGATACCTCATTTTGTCTTACAAACCCAACAATAATATTTTAAATAGTTTGTTGTTTTTTATCTCAACCTCTCACTTCTGGTACCCGAGTGCTAATAGCCACTTCGTTTATAAATACTGGAACGTAAAAATGACCTGAGACAATTTTATTCAATTCTTTAAAACTTCACTATAAATTATAAATACATCACTGGGAGAAAAAGGTGTTTTTTTAAGGTTCTGTATTACTGGCACAAATCATAATAAAAATAAAACTACAAGGGGAAATAAATTTTAACAGTTTTATTCAATGTTAATATTTTTAACACAGATTGGTGTTACTATTAGTTTGGATCCTACTGGTACTACAAAATATAGTAAAAATGTCAACAGTAAGATATCATAACTCAATCTTTTAATGATAATAAAGTAAAAGCTTACTGAGTTCAGGGCAACACATAATTTGGGGTTGAAGTTGAATGTAAAAACAACAAATGCAATTTTCCATTAGAAAAATAATTATAATAATAGGCCTACTCACATTATCAATTTATATTTAAAAAATATTTATTTTAATCATTGCATGTTTTGTAGAAATATCTTCAGTTCCATGCAGCAGTGAAATGTGTGTCCCAGTGCTGTTATTTCAACAGTTAAAATTCATTAGTGCCATTATAATAAGTATCAGATATCTTTGTAAGAGACATTAACTAGCTCTACATTTCTGTAAAAGATAAATATAACCTTACAACAAAAAAAGTTCTAGAACAACACTGTTGCCTGATTTAATTACAAGCTTTGATAAAACTGGTCAGGTAAGACTACAGAAACCAGAAACTTTTATTGAGCCATATGTAGTACAATTTACAAAGCATTCTCAATCATTTGTACTGATATAGACACAAGTAGTGTCCCTCTGCATGGAGTTGGAGACATTATTTTAATTTTAAGTAATTTTAATTTGTTTTAATTCACATGACCACAATATGTCGAAGTAAATAACCAATCATCTCTAACCAGAGAAATAAGCCCAGGGGCACCACAAGGCTGCGTTCTCTCTCCTGTACTGTATACAATATATACCACTGATATTCAGAGCTCAAGCGACACCGTTCCAATCTTAAAATTTGCTGATGATACCACCATTGTTGGCTTAATATCTGAAGGAGAAGGCCCATACCACAATTTAGTTACAAGCTTTATCGATTGGTGCGATGAAAATTTTCTCCAGCATATCTCAAAAACAAAGGAAATGGTTGTTGATTTCCAGAGTGGGTGGGGAACACCAGATTACAGATCTCAACATAAAAAATCAAAGTGTAGAGAAAGTGGAGACATACAAGTACTTAGGCGTCACCATTAATAATAAGCTAACATGGCATGAGCACAGCTAAATGCTGTATAAGATATCCAACCAAAGACTGTTCTACCTCAAAAAACTGTACAATTTCAGCGTAAACGATTCATTAACTTATTCTACAGTGCAACAATTGGAAGCCTCCTTAATTTCAGTATGACCTGCTGGTGTGGGAATTCACTGTCTGATATTAAACACTGCATAAACCGACTAATCAAGAAAGCTAGGAACATAACACAAACTAAACATCCTTCACTTGAAGAACTATTTGAAGAAAGATGTTTTTGTAAAACTCAACACATTTTGGATGATACCCCAGGTACATCCCACCCTCTTTATCACAAATACTTAGGATCAGGCCGTTCGGGATGAATTCTTTCCATCACGGCGAGGACTGAAATACTCGGTATATAAAAATTCTTTTGTTCCCCAATCTGTACGAATTTACCGGCATGCTCCTTCTGAAATCACACACTTCATGAGAACTAATAAGTATCCGATTTAGCTAAGAGAACTCACTGAATGGCTGTTTGAGATAATTTATCATAAATGTCTTGTCTTCGAATTGTTTTATTTATGTGCTGAAAATTTATAATGCAATCAAAAAACATTTCCATTTATTTGGATCAATAAAAGAATCTTATCTTATCTTATGACGCTACTCAGACTTTTTAACATACCAGTCTTGCGTTTTTCATCATTCTTCAAATGTAATCTCCCCTGCCCATCATCAAAAACAGCTATGGAAGAGTTAACAAATATATATCAGTGAAATATCAGTTTAGATATCTGGGAGCTTAATCTTCTTTTGTTCACAATCTCAGGCTACATGATCTTCTGAAAGGTTTATATCATTACGCTATATACATCAATAGTAGTTAACATGCACACACATGTTTATTTCAGTAACTTTTTAAATCCATTTTACAGTATCCCTAGATTATTTTTAGTACACAAGTTCAACCATCATTCTGAGTCCTCGCCATCCTCTTTAGCTCTAATGTGCCTCCTTCACTCTGACTCCTCACCATCCTCTTTAGCTCTAATGTGCCTTCTGACATTTTTTCTAGACTTAAAAGTGCTGGCTACCTGTTCTGTTTCACTTTCTCTATTAACATTTCCTGACTCAGAATCCACATCTTCATCTGTTGTTTCAGATGAAACTTTGAGTGTGGTTGCATCACAACTATTTGTGTTTACTAGCTGATTAGAATTAGAATGATTTTTTATTAGTTTGGGCTTAGAAAATGTTATTTTGCCCTGTGAACAGGCGGCATTACCGACATCAAATTTAGGATCTTCCTCAAGTAATCGGAGAGAATTTATTTCCTTTTGGCTCTGCTGCTTGCGCTCCTCTAAGAAGGCCAAGGCGGTCATTGTATTGGATTTTTCAGACATATCTTTCTCTGAGATATCAGCAAGGGAGTAACAGGTGTATTTTTCTGGATGTTTCTTGAAATCTGGAATAGGTTGACAGCCTTTTCTTTGAGGTCGGTAGGGACGTCTAAATATGTTATCCTTTTCTACACAACTATCTTCTCCATTACCAATGTCACTTCTCTCTAGGGATCTACTATGATTTCGAGACACGAAATCTGAGTTCTTTGTCTCACTTAGTCTATGCCTAGGTCTATTACTTCTTTCCCTTTCTTTAGCCTGTTTTTCTAATTCATCATCATCTTCAGGATCAGCTTTCATGATCTCTGCCTGATCTAGACTCAAAACTTTAGATTTGAGAAAGGCAGAGTGTTTATCTTCTAAGGCTCCTAAGCTAGCAAACACATCTTTGCTTCGGGAGACAAACAAATCTGTGCCAGAACGGAGGCTAAAGTTCGATTTTGAATCATCATCTTCATCTTGTTTATTGGAGTACATCGTGATATATCTGTTGATGTAATGAAAATCGATTATGCTAATAAAGCTGATAATTTGATATGTAACTTTATTTCTCCTATAAGAAAATATAATGTTGCTACTAATAGCAAGTACCAGGAAACTCTCAGACTACTGGTATTTAAAATAAATAAATTTATGATTTTTCAAAGAAAATCCTTAAATTTTAAATTACAATAATTACGTTTTATAACATAATTTAAACTTACACCACCAAAGACTTGGATACATTCTACCAACTTCAAAGTATAAATAATTAGATATTATAAGTCATTAATTTTTTAAAATGTGTTATAGAAGTTTTGTACATGATTAAATTTTCTAAGAACATTCATTAAAAATTTGATTCATAATATTATTAATAACCACATGTACTTATATCTAATCTTAGTTTAAACTTTTTCTCTTTGTGATGCTGACTGCTGTACCTACACTCTTCCACCTCACTACTCCCCTCTACTGATGGCATCATTACCTTTAACTTACTTTTCAGCCTTTTGTATCCTTTCTCTTTCCCCTCACCCTACTCCAACCTCTCCTAGGTGCTCTAGGACCTCATCATAATATTATGAATAATTGATTTAATTAATTATAAAAACCTCTCCACCAGGGTTGCCTACCATGAGTAAATTTACAGACAGTCCGTAAAAATGTTACCTTAAGGTAGAGCCAGGGCCATCTTAACAGCAAAGTAAATGCACAGAGGCCCACTATTCCTCTATAACCTATTCGAGTAATGTTAGGAAAAGCTGTAGGGACCCATGTTGGCCCATTCATTATGACCAGTGTTTCTTTCAGACAATATCATTGGCACTGCCCCTGCTATACAATAACATCAATTCATTCCAGTTGTGGTGCCCTTCAAGGTAATAGCTTTGGACCAAGCTTAGTTTCATCCATGGGATGTACATAGTCAAAATATCTAATTTAACAAACTAAAGGCTAAAGGAATCATATTTTGGAAGCTGGTAGAAAATCATTTTAATAATTAAATTAACATCCAGTGCTTTTTTTGTAGATAAAAAGGTATCAGTACTGTCTTTTTGGTTGTGGAAGGAGCAGAAATAAAAGTTATAGTAGAAAGCTCCTGAACGAACCTGGAGATGAGCCCCCCCCCCCCCCCCAAGATTTTTTTTAATTTAAAAATTAAAAGTGGTTTTTTTTTTATTATTTGATTTTTTTTTTTTTTTTTTTCTTTTTAAAAGGTATCAGTACTGTCTTTTTGGGTGTGGAAGGAGCAGAAATAAAAGTTATAGTAGAAAGCTCCTGAACGAACCTGGAGATGAGCCCCCCCCCCCCCCTCAATTTTTTTATTACATTCAAAATGCAAGGGTGGATTTTGGAGCATACCTGAATTTAGTTTGCATCATTCCCGATTTAATTCGTGAGCAATTTAAATTTACCTGGTTTTACTTGCACAAATATTCTTTGTTAAAAAAAAAAAAAGTTTGGCTAACAACATTAGATCTATACATGTTGAACAAAAAGAAAAAACTATACTATAACTTCAAACATTTTTATAATTATTTTATTTTTAATATTTCCAAGCTTTACAGACACAAAAGAAGGAGAGCGAACAATATTTTGTAAAAATTCTTTGGATTTCTTTATGGCCATTTAGAACTGCTCATTATCATTATTAAAATAATTTTTTTATAGAAGTAGATGGCATAGTTATGTAAAGAAGATAGGATATATTTACAAAATGGATAATTTATTAAGTAATAAATAACTATAAACATTTAGTAAGTAATAAAACACTTTTCTACTAAACTTCATTTTAGCCTATATAATTTAATTTCAAAACACATTTTTAACAATTGTTTGGCCTGAAGTTTTCTATGGATATTCCTAACCCTATTATGAAGGTCCTTTAGTAGTATAAATGCTTTACACAGAAGGCAAATTTTTGTTGGTGCTTTCAGATTAAATTGCATTAGTGCTACTCAATTTTATATCCATATTATCCCATTATGGTGAGGTTTCACTGTACATACATTCAATAAAACAAAGATAATTTAATAATTATTTAAATAATTAACACAATTTATTGTGTTTTTAGGATTACTCAATTTTTTTTAATTCACAAAAAAAGTAAAATAATTATTAAATTCCAACACTTCTAATACCACCTCTCCCTGTGCCAACAATGAACATTATTGCCAAAAATTCAGAAACAATTAATGTGTTATCAAACTGTTATTTTTAGTAACACTGCTGCCATATTGGGAACCTAATTTGCAAAAATGTATAATTTTATCTCAGATTTTAAATATTAACCCCTTAGATTCTATGTGGTTAAAATAATATTCAAATTGAGGGTCTTAGGTTCTCATACAAATGAATAGATACCGGTGCCGGTACTGATCTTCCATTGAAGCAACTCCCCAGGTGCAGGATAGCATAGCCTATGCCATAGGTCATAGGGGAAAGTCCACCAGATATAGGCAGGTACCAGGGAAATAAGTATAAACTTTAAGTAACCTATAATTCAAATGATTAAGACGAAGAATATTTTTTTCATATTTTTTTTTTTTTGAGCTGGCAACAATAACATTATTAACATCTTATTACCTATTACCAGGCATTCAGTGTCATTCACCATCATCATGCCCATTCCCTGACTGAGTAAACAGTAAACTAATCCAGAAGAAGAATAGAGTTAAGCAGTAAACTTATTTGGTAGAGAAGTTAAGTAACAACCACTCATACAGTGACTGCACATTGCACTGCAACAAACATTGTTTAAAGTACTTTTTAAAAGGCTTACTAACTTTACTTTACTGTTAAACTCATAAAAATAACCATTAAATTTACCTCGTTAAACTCTTTTTTGGTCCAAAAAAAAATATTTTTATAGTTTATCCATAGTTCTGAGGTAATTTAAAATATATATTAGTTGTTACTACTATTTGTTAAAGCACTAGTGGTATGCCTATTTATTAGACAACTATTATATTATTAATTATTAAAAATTATTTGCTGTGCTTCAAAATCTTCAAGACGAGAGTTTACCTTTTGATTATGCTTCTTCAAATTTGTAATTTAAAAATATTAACGGATAAAATTGATATGAGCTAGCAATAATATAGATTACATTTAAATAAAAACAATGAATTTAAAAATCAAAATAAGTTTGTGAAATTCAACATTAATTTTGCTTATTAAAAATAAGAAAATAATCTTAATAAATATCTTCAATTTAACGATTTCCACAACAATAACCAGGCCATTCATTATGATAGCTTTAGTGCATTATACTATGTATACGTCTTGACGGGGCGATGGTATCTCAGTCGTATCACTAATCTGAAGGTAATTAATATTAATAACTCTCATATAAGCCACCAAGACATGGAAAATGTACACTAGCCATGCCAGACAACTGAACTATATACACCTACGCCTGTTACGTAAACATCCTGGCCTTATAAAGGCCCTGAACAAAGGCCCTGGTACAGAAGCTCCCCAACCGGCTGGCTTTATCAGCATCCTCACATTCTTACAAAAAATGACAAACCATATGAACAGGACATGGTGCGGGAATGCCAGACTGCCTAAAAAAAAACTAATGTACGGTGAACTTTCATATGGAAACGCTCAGCTGTTGGGCAGGGGGAAAACGCTTTTAAGACTGCATAAACATGTACCTCAAATGAGCTCAAATCCATGGACATCGACCTGAACTCACAGGAAACGCTTGCTTTGGAGCGCAGAAGCTGGCGAGACAGACACAGTGTTGGAGCCCATGTTCAGAGAATAAACGTACTGCTCAAAGAAAGCACATATCAAGGAAAAGCAGAATCGGGTCAAATCCATCGACCTCAAGACACGTGTGCCTTACATGCTTTCAAGTACAAATTGGAGTAGCAACCAACCGAAGTAGGCCTACTCACCGTTGAATATAGCCCTAACAGAGCCTAACGTAGCTTTTTTTTTAGCCCGGAGACAAGATTCATCCCTCCCCACCCCCCACCCCACCCTTCAACGCTGAAACCCATTTAGGTACACCCGCTTGTCTGGCGCAACTCCATAATTATTATTCTTTTTTAGAAATAGGTAAATTTAATTTATAATTATAGATGTCCTTTGTTGTACCGATGAAGGCATTGGCCAAAACGTTTTAATTTGTATTAGGTATAATTATAATCATAATTAAAGATTAATATATTATTGTTTTATTTACACAAATTGTTTCTCATAAATTAGTCTACTTAAAAGCTTTGTCGCAGTCCAACTCTCTGCCTTTTTTTATTGCAGGGATCAACGTTTAATGAGTGTGTTGTTATGTTTTTATCCCATCAGTGCATTAGATCAAAATTAAGAGTATAGGCCCTAGTTCACGGAACCCCTAGGTCTATGTTTGTCGAGACCTTCGTTAGTTTACGGATCAGACGGGTCTTAAATGTACGGCGTGTACACTACCTTTGCCTTTATGTAAAAACTACGACTTCCGCCGGTTGATATCTTTGTTTGAAGCTCTATAATTTGACTCTAAAAATTCAAAAGGGACATAGATTTATAGCATTTATATTAATTTACAGCGTTAACAAAAAAATCAACATGAGTGGGGGTGTGTACGGTGGAGGTAAGTGTTTTGATTATGTCGAATATTTTAGGCTAAGGCGCCTAGCATTTTTTTTTTTGCTTTGATTTTGATTCCTCTATTCAGTAATTCTATCTGTTTACTAAAAATTCATAATACTATGATAGTCACTATGATTTTTATGTATTTCACTGATATCATTAAATTTAATATAATGAATAATGCATTAATAATTAATATATATATATGTCAGTATATGGCTTTTCTGTTTACCAAATCTACGGCGTCCATGACTAGGTACTTTAGTGAAAAAATTCAAAATAATTTTTTTGATTATTACACCAGTTATTTAGAGCAAATTTCGGCTAAAACCGAGGACGGCTGCCACAGCGTCTTTTGTGTCTTTATTATAGTTGCAGTGAATTAGAGTTTAGGTTAGGTTTAGGGATCGATTTAGGGTTCAGGTTAGGCATAGGGATCGATTTAGGGTTCAGGTTAATCACACTCACAGGGATCGATTTAGGGTTCAGGTTAGGCATAGGGATCGATTTAGGGATACATTCGTGAAATTCAATAAAAAAGTGGCAGGCGTCCCCATTTTTAACCCAAATTTCAAACATAAAATAGGATCTCCAATACTGGACTACGCGGGCTAAAAAACCTGCCGGCTTTGCATGGTACATTTCTGTAACCAGCCGTGAAGGGCGGGTTTCGGTATATGTCGGGCTTGTTCGTTCCTATGCGTCATTTTCTAAAAATAAATAAGTTTCAGTCTTAAACTTTATTTGCTGAAGAATTCCGGTCACGGTGGTATAAATGCTGAGTCATTCTGACCTGTTTCAGACTAACAGTTGGAGCGTAAACTTGGGTAAGTGTAAACATGTTGATCGGTTATTTTTTTGTTATACCCAGTAAAAGGTTAAAACTTTTACATAATGCAAGCTTGATCACTTTTACTTCGAAATCATTTATTGTTAGCGTTACTGGCTATTTCAGGAATTTAAGATATCGTTCGAAAAAAAAAAATCCACATGTTATGAAAAAAAGGTGGCCATCTTTTTTTACATAATTTTATTGACCGGAGGAAGGTGAAATTATTAGGAATAAACGCTTTAAATAAAACATTTCTAAGTCATTGAAAGATCTGATTAAATAAAAATTGTTGATTCTAATATGAATAAACAATATAAATGTATTCAAGAAAATATTTAAACAATTTTTTTTTTTAGTTTGTACAATTATTCTATATTAAACAAGAAATTGATCAATTTGCAAATATGAACTCCTCTTCAACAACGACAATGTATTTATTAGCTATTAATAATTATTAGATAAACTAATACTAGTATTAGTTATAAGGGTGTATTTTTAGACTTATATTCATACTTGAATTAAATTAATGAAATAAATACATTTTAATACGAGGGAAATTTCTTTTATTTGTGTGATTTGATTGTAAACAATCTTTTCTTTGTCAGTCCACTCTAATTATTATTCTTTTATTATTTGATAAACCAAGACTATACCTATATTCATACTACCTAATTAAATTATTAAATATATTTAACACTGGGGACATTCCTTTAATTTATTTTGTCTCATTAAAGTGATTTTTGTCTAAAAAGCAATTTATATTTGCAATGACATTAGCTTATACTTGAGTCTGTCTTGAGCATTTTCCTTTGTTTTTGCTATAGATTCCACTTGGGAAATGCATTGCAACCTGAAGGAGATCAATAAACAACCCAATTTGATGCTGACAATGATGTTGTTTTTAATCTACCTATCGATGAGAATGAAGTGTTGCCACTGTTGCTAGAACTCCGGCGCCACGAACCATGTCCACGATCTTTTGAGACAGTTATTGCTCTGTCTTTAGGATATATTAAGACCACTGTTAAATTATTTTGTAAGTTGATATTATTTAACATAGATCATGAAGAAATAACATTGTCAATTTTAGTTTCTAATGTTCTAATGTGAGATTTTCATTTTGTTAATTTATATTTTGATTGAAATTGCTTTTGTAATACTTGAATATTCTGTTACATTTGGGTTGTCACTATCTATTTGTAATGAAAATTTCATTGTAGTAGCTTTATTAGTTTAAAAGTTATTTATTTAAGTGTAAAAATGTCTCTGCCGCGGTCGCTTTTCATGAAATATTTTTTCTAACGTCGCATAAATTTTTCTGATCTGCATTTTATTTATTTTAAATTTACCTTACTTTTAGATGGACATTATCACATTATCTATTTGTTTTGAAAATTTCATTGCAGTCGCTTTATTAGTTTAAAAGTTGTCTATTTAAGTGTAAAAATGTCTCGGCCGCAGTCGCTTTTCATGAAATATTTTTTCTAACGTTGCATAAATTTTTCTGACCTGCATTTTATTTATTTTAAATGCGCCTTACTTTTAGATGGACTTTATCTGTTTGTATTGAAAATTTTATAGCAATAGCTTCATTTGTTTAGTAATCATGTCATTTTTTGTAAAATTAAATTTTCGACTACTGTCATTATCAACGCCATGTGCAAATAAAATCACATTTTTTCAAATATAATAAGTTAATTCACAATTCATGTGTTTTGTTTTGTTAAACATTGTATTGTAAATGTTTCCTCCGAATTTGAGAGCTATAACTTTAATAGCCAAAAAGATACATGCAAAATAGTATTTAAAGAGTAATAATGCGATCACAGTCTTAAAAATTAAATGCAAAGCCGAATAGTGGGGAAAAATTAATCACTAAAAAATTCATAACTTTAAGTGATAGAAAGATTATCTTGGTGTCATTGGAAAGCTTAGAGCCAGCTCTTTCCAATGATATGCTCTTTGTGTATGTCGGATGTATTTGAAAATTTGAGTTGGAGTGCCTATTAGGGTTCAGGTTAGGCATAAGGATCGATTTAGGGATATTTTCGTGAATTTCAATAAAAAAGGGGCAGGCGTCCCCATTTTTAACCCAAATTTCAAACATAAAAGAAACCAGAATCAACTTTTTATCGTAAGTACTTTTTGAGCTGCGAATTTTTAAAGTGTGAGTTTGTTTGGTATTTTTAACTATGGCCGAAACCTCCACATCTTGTGACCTCACTCCGCATCCTCTTATCACTAAAATACTGTTTAGGGTCGACTTATTTTAAACTTTCAACTTTGGCACGTGAACAATTAATTAAAGCTTTCCCTTACCAATGGTTTAATAGTTTTTGCACACGGCAAACTCTTACGAATGAAACTGTGAGATAGTATTACGATATAGCCATTATGTTAGTGGTTGTGAATGGTTGCCAATGACAACGTATTGCACACGGAAAATTCTGATCATTTATAATATGGACGCTACAGTGTTTTTAAAGCTCAAATTAAAACGTTCCAGTTTGAATGTCTTCAAAATGCATTATGAAACACAAGTTATCAAATATTTTGATGTAAATAGTGGTAATAATTAAATATTTCCTAAGTATCTGCAACTTCTGCCATTAAAAAGGGGGGCGTGAGCCACACCATGTCGAAATTAGGCTGAGTGACCTTATGTTGATATGGGTCACAGGGACAAGCGCAACAAACGTCGGACACGAGAGCATTGGCACACTTATACTTCAATATCTAATGCTTTTCACGATTTAATATGAAAGACCTGTTCTTTTTATTTCACAAAATGTTTTGTATGCAAAGGTGCCTTATATATACCAAAGATTTTCAAAATAAAGGTCGCTTGAAAAAGCAAAATAGCTGGATCGAAATGTAGGCCAAGATGTCTTCCAAAGTGAAAAGGCGGAAGGGGAACATATTTATATATCAAAAGGACTCATTTATTAATGAATTGACACTCACATTAAAAGATTAAAAAGTCGGATTTTACTGCGCTGACGCCCATTTCCGATACAAATTTTGAAGTAGTCTCCCTTGCTTTACCGCAGTATCTAACAATACCCGTACATGCTATATAGTCTATATTATATAAGGCAACACATCCCATTAGCCTTATTACTAACCTGATTTTCCTCACTTAATTAAAGTTGATATAAAGAGCCGAAAAACTGAATGGAAATGTAGGTCAACATTTCTCCAAATGTGAATGGGCGGAGTCCGACCTTAATTATGGGCCAAAAGGACTCCTGTATTATTAAAATTACACTCATATCAAAAAATTAAAAACTCAGATTCCATTGCGCCATCTCACATTTCCGATACAAATTTTTTAGGAGTGTTCTTTAACGAAGAACCTCAGTAAATTTAAGTAATAAAGTGCAAGTTCCTTGTTCATTTTTACTATGGACTGCACCTCCACACATTATCACTAATTGCAGTAAATTTAATAAATATGATATGGATGTTCTGTTTACAAAGTCTTCCACCCATTATAAATAGGTCTATAGATAGTCTATGCAATGTAAGGCTAGATGTCCCTCTAAAAATAATACTGCTTTTGGCTTTTGACTACTAATTGTCAACTTTTGCACTGAATAATTCATTTAAGTTTTTCCTGACCAATGATTTAAAAATGTTTGCACACACCTTCGTTGTTTTGTTGCATCCTTTTTCAGGTTTTCCCATACTTTGTTTCGCTTATTTCCTTTTCTATAACCTGATCATAGTCTCTCTCCCTTATTACCACTTAGACTAAACAGCAACATACTCTGTTGACTGTGACGCGCTCCAAACATGATAAATCACAAAATGTCAAGGCAAGGAGAAAATGCTTCCTGAGTTTGCCCATATAATCAAAAGTTTACACTGGACTGATGTCTTAAGAACAATAGCACTAATCATAGAAAAACTAAAGAACTTCACAAAAACAGTTAAGTTCAATTGTAAAAAATCACATTTGACACAGTGTGACAGACAGATCATTCTCTCTTTGTTTAATGCATGGGCCTTGTTTTTATTTCAGATCATCAAAAGGAAAGAATTTGATAGATTTTTAATTAAATAATTGTTAAATGATCTTCATCTTATTTAATGTATGTAAAGTGAAACATCACCATAATACAATAATAGGGATACGTAAAATTGGTTAGTACTAATGCAAGGTTTTTACAATATTCCATGCAAATTTTATCAAAATAAACCTTTTTTTTTTTTTGTTTTAAAATCTCTTGCAGTTAGGGAATTATGGAGTGTTCAAGTTCTCCATGTTTTAGTGGAATGCAATAGTGCTGTATGAAAATATACTTTTTTTATATTCGTTAGTTTTTAAGAAAGTAACTTGAAAAAAAAAATTCATGTGCGAATGATTATACAAAAATGTTGGGACCTGTGCCATGACTGTGTTGTATCCTTATTTGTGTTTTACTTTCCCAATTTACTTGGCTAATTTGTAGTAATTCAAAGAAATCTGTTCATAATCTGTTTCACTAAAAATATAATTTCTCAGATGAAGTTGGAGCTGTGGTGTTTGACATTGGATCCTATTCATTTCGAGCTGGCTTTGCTGGAGAAGATACACCAAAAGTATGCCTATAATACCTGTTTTAGCCTTATAGATATTTTTTAAAATCTTTATTTTCTGGGTGAGGGTAAGAGGATTAAAGATTTGTTAAAAATTAACAAAGTGCAATTGTTATTGCTATTATGCATCCTAAATTTATTTTTCCTAATATCTTCCAGAAAAGGTCATATTGACATGATATAATTAGCTGGTGAATTGCAGTTGAAAGTTACCTGTGAAGGATCGTTGGAAAACAAAACCAACTCGTTTTACCTGTTCCATAATATTATCAATCACCACTGGTTATTCACAGTTGATAACTCAGCAGTTATCACTTTTTCTAAAATACATAAGTTGTTTAGACAGTTTTGGAGTCAATACATATTTACTTTATACTTTAAAAAAACAGTCCTGGATTGCCTGTCATCAGCATAACTTAAATACATGCAACAGAGACATAATAACACAATTACTGACCTTTGCTTTGAATAGAAATGGTAGTGACAGTCATCTGAGAATATAGGAAGTTAATCTATATTGGATCCAATTGCCATTCCCCAAAAAATAATTTCAGTGACGACTCATTTTTCACAGTACATAACCCAAATAGCTTGCCACGGGTGTGCTGTATTTTATATGACATGGGGTGTGAGTACTTGAGTACCCACTTAATACAAATAAATATTTTATTTATTATGGTATTTTTGTAAATAACGCATTGATACAAATTATTAGATTTTAAGATATTTCTGTAAAAAGAAAATATTGTTTCCAAAACCCTCCACCGAAAATAATGGTTATCATTTTTATAGATACAGTTTTTACATGCTTAAAATATTTATCTATTGCAAAAGCCTAAGTTTTTCCTTTCTATACAAAGGCAGAGATTCCAACTCATGTTGGAGCACTTGATGACCTTGAAAGTGCCATGGAAATGGAAAATGGTGGTGATAATAACGTTACCCCAAAGCGTTACTTGATTGATACAGTTTACATGAAGCATCCTGTAAAGGATATGGAGCTTACCACTTTTCTTAAAGATGGGATGAGTGAGTAAATCATTGATTACATAGTCAATTTTATATTTGTTTTTATGTCTATGCAACTAAAAACTAATTATCATTAAAGATCAAACTCTATGAGTATGGCACTCTTCTTGATGCCCACTCATCCAAATATTCACATTTATCATAATTAAGCAAAAACAAAAATAAATTTTTGCCAAGGTTTAATTAAAATTCAGTAAATTATGGATAAAAAATAATAGAGATCAAAGAGAAATACTTTTGCAGTTTTATAGTAAAGTTATCAAGTTTACTCTGTAGTATTTTGTTCGGCTAACGGGAATTTAATCGAAATAAATTTCGTCGACGGTAAATTGATAGATGGAAATTTGAACTAACGGAAATTTAGTCAAATCTTTTTTTCAGTTCACGTATTAAAATTTTCGTCAAGTTTCTTTTTGAACGCACTATGCTATATAGTAAAACAAAATAATGCGTACAAAAAAAAAATTTGAAGCAAAATTTTAACGTAAAAACTGAAAAAAAAGATTTGACCAAATTTCCTTTCAATCAAATTATCATCAAGCAATTTACCCTTGACGAAATTTCTTTCGATCAAATTTCCTTGAGAGCCTGTCAATGATAAAAATCTTCATTTTCTTTAAAGTTTTGTTGAGTATTGTCAGGGCTCGAGTCCTACACAACATGCAAATTGAGACTAATCTGAGCATGCTTAATTCCTTAGAATTAACATCTAAATGAGCTGTTGTGTCATTTAGACAAAACTTTTGACATGTCCCACAGCCTCAAGTAATAAATTGCATTGCCACTGAAATGAAGAAAAAGCTTTTAAATGTTGAACATTTCTATATTGGTCAGTCTACTACAGTTTCTTCACAGTCATTGTTGTTTTTATTTGTGCCTCTGTTGATTGGAAAGACCCAGTCACTTTCTTTCTTGATTTTCCAAAAGCAGATCCACACTCTATTGAAGTCACTCACATAGGTTCAGAAATTACTTTCTGGATTGGGGATTGTAATAATTGTGCAAGTGTAATGCATTGATGAAAGTCAGATGTTTTCAATAATTGAGTGAAAAATGTCCACAGCTTATAAAAGGTCATTGCATATGTAATAGGCTTAAATAGTGCATTTCAGACACAACTGATTCTGTTCCTGGTCTTCATCATTTTTTTTTCAGAAGTTGTGTGCTGTGTAGTTTCAGTCACCCACAAATATGTCTGGAAAATATGTTTAGCTAGATGTGTTGCTTCAAGCCATAAAGCTATATGAGCAGTTAGGGAGACATATTCTGCATAGTCATTTCTTGAAAGGAAGCTTAAGTTCAACTCATAAAGCTTAGCAGAAATCTGTGTCCTTAACAAGATCATGAAAACAGAAGATTATTTGTTAAACCATACAGATGCTGTTCAAGAAATAAAATATTTTCTATAACCCTACAAATAGATGAATTCAAATTTCCATGAGCCCATCAGCCAATTCATATCTCAGTTTGTGAAATTGAACAAAATTAAAGATATGTGCCCTGCCCATATCTGAAAGAAGTCATGAAATATTGAGGCCGTGTCTTCTCGTGTTTTATGAGTCCCATAGGCCCATCCTTCTTGTGTATGGGATTATTTACCATATGCCACAAAATGGCTGACAAACATATCACAGCCAAGATAATAATAAATCTAAAAAAGTTGATAATGCTGAACTGCAAGTGCAAGATTATTCCAGTTTGTGTGAAATCTTCTAATGGAATTTGTTTTCTTTTATGCACTATTTGTTTTAGAAACTCCATTTGAAGGTGAAGATCATCAGCTACTGTGGTGCTTATATTATCAGAATGGCCAACTGGTCAACTGGTTTGCATTGTGTTTTATAGACATGTCAACTAAAGAATATGTGTTATGAAATATTAAAGATTCCCAGATGACGTGTTTACTTTATAGATATGTTCTGAATGAGTTTGAAACAGGAAAGAAAATAATTTTTGGATTTAAAAATGGAGCAGGGGCAAAGTATATCACTGCCCTTTAATATGCTTTATTTTGATAATCTGACCATATAAAAAAATTAAATTATTTAAGTTTACATTGTAATAATTTAAATGCTTACTTAAAAAGATTTTAATACTTGTTTCAGTTGAAAACTGGGACATTTTTGAGAAAGTGATGGATTATGTGTACAGCAGGAGCATTAAATCAGATTCCAATCTTCATCCAGTTCTAATGTCAGAGGCTGCTGTGAGTACTGCTTAGCAATAGTTAAAGAACCTTTGAACCAATAGTAATGGATTATGCAAATGAATTATTTCCTTTCATTGAAACATTACCTAGAACTATACCAGCCATAACCTTTTGATATTAAAACAATCATTTTTTTACATTTATTTTGTGGAGACATACTTGCTGTCAGTCGTATTATTTTAAGCCATCTTGCTGTTAACTAGATTACTCTTTCAATGAAACTCTTCAAGATCAAGAATTCAAAGAAATTATTTATATGTGTAAAATGAAACTTTTTTTCACTTGTCACTTAACTATTACGCCATTTTGTTTTTCCATACATAGTTATTTTTTGCAACTCTCTTTAAATATGTTACTAGTATAAATTTCAATTGGACCATTTAAATTCTTCAATTTGATCAAGAATATTATCATTTCTAATTCAACAGTGGATTACTAAAGCCAAAAGAGAACAGCTGACAGAGATTATGTTTGAGAAATATAACGTCCCTGCATTTTTCTTGTGCAAAAATCCAGTACTGTCAGCGTATCCTTGTCCAAGTTTACACCAATAATATTTTATTTCTTTTTAATTGTTAAACTGCCAGACATACAGAGACAAAGATACAGAGCTTTATAAGTAAATTGTATAATCCGTCTTATTTCATTGAAATGGATGATATTTACCAGATCCCACTCCAGCTAAAGTTATATAGTTAATGAAATAAAGAAATTAAAGCCATCTGAAATGTGAATAATTTGTTTATTCACTTGAATAGATATAAGAATATAGAATAACTACTCAGTCTGCAAGTAGCAGACAAGCTAAATCTTAAGCATGTTAAATCTTTAGAGGATAGAAATGCAAATGTCAACATGAGTATAAATCATTAAATTAACATTTTTAGCAATGACTTTAGTACATATTTTCTTCCCAAAGTGTTTATATGGTATTAAAATGCTGTTAAATTAATTTGTAAAGGCTTTTTTTTTTATTGAGCTTAACCATGTGGCTCAGTTTTGCTAATGGAAGATCAACAGCACTGATTGTAGACAGTGGTGCAACACAGACTTCTGCTGTACCAGTTTATGATGGTTATGTCATTAGTCAGTGTGAGTTTTATTCTAAAACAGTATTTCGTTTTAAAACAAAATATTTTCATTTAGGAAGAGTTACAGTTATATGAATTTGCATATTTTTCTTCAAGTTACCAGGTTTTATTTAAAGTTGGTTGTCTTCATGTTTCCAGACATAGTGAAATCTCCATTGGCTGGTGACTTTGTCACAGCAGAATGTAAGAAGATGATGGAGGAAATGGGCATTGAGATAGTCCCACCATACATGATTGCTAGCAAGGTCAGTTTTATACACACTGCAAGCTTCATTCTCTTATCACTAGTCGCACTCTGTTATCTCCAGTCACAAAGTCTGGAGATCAAATCCTTGAGCAATCAGTTAATTGTTTTAATTGCTTTTTCAATTAAAGATGAAGAATTGCATGACTCCCTGCTTGGAATAAATAGATTAAGGGAGAATTGAAACTAAACATAAGGGAAAATTTAAATTCCTTTCTTTTCTGCAGGAAATTGTAGCAGATGGACAGCCGGCAAAATGGAAAAAGAAGGAAAATCTTAATGTGACCAAATCATTTCATAATTACATGACCAAGGTCAGTCAAATTTCATGACCATAGATGATTCATCTGCTTTGAATTTGAGAACAATGTACTTTTGTATTATTTGATTTTGTCAAATGTAGGTATTGCTGTAAGATTAAAATGTTAAGCAAGACGCTATACCATATCAATATTTCTTTTACTTATTTTTTTAATGGGGATATTGTTAAAATAATATTTTCTCACATGATAGGATGTTCTCCAAGATTTTGCTGCGACTATTGTTCAGGTCTCGGATTCACCATATGAACAAAGGTTAGTTTTGATTTATTATATATTAATCATCAAATAATCTTTTATCATAGGCAAGCATTTAATTTTAAATGTAATAATATGGATGACCTTTGTACTGCCAGTGTCTTATTATTTGTTAAAAAGAAGTTTGATTGTTGACAATGCCATCCTAGTGCTGCACATTTTTTCTTTCTGACAGTCAAGCAGATACCATGCCCACTGTACATTATGAGTTCCCTCATGGCTACAATCAAGATTTTGGCAGTGAACGATTTAAAGTTTGTGAAGGACTTTTTGATCCATCATTTATAAAGGTTGTGATTTATATTAATCTGGTTTTCTCTTAAAACCTAGAATTAAGTTATTTGTTTGTTTTAATTGTTTGTTTTATTAAACTTTAAAATTTGTTTCATCGGAATTGATATAGAGAAATAAGTTAATTAATAGCTTGAATCTAATTATGCAGCTGTTAAAAGATGTATGCTTGGACAGTAGAATAGTTGTCACCATTTTTCACTGATAGTTTTATACCAGAGATGATTACAAATAATATTTATTAAGCCATCCTAAAATATCAATGCAGACCTGTTTACCAGCAAACTCTTAAAATCGTACTATATCACAAAATCGTTCAATACCTTATACTTATAATAAAAAATAAACATACAGTATATATATTGTATACACCTCAAAATCGTTAATGGTACGCCAAAATCGTAAGAGTAAACAGGTCTGTCAGTGGAATATAAGGAAGCTTACATTAACTCTCAAGTACCATTTTGTTCCAGGAGTCTGGGGGTAACTCCATGTTGGGTGTTGGTCACGTTGTAACATCTAGTGTGGGAATGTGTGACATTGACATTCGACCAGTAAGTAAACCTGTGTTGTCAGAAAGTTCGAGCTTGTCCCCAAAATTAATTTAAATTCTTTTGATTGTCAAGTACAAACAGCTATTTAGCATTGTAGGCGTTGCATTGTGTTTCTAATATTAGTTTATGTGTATTTTTATAGGCTTTGTTTTTGACACTATTATTCTTTCTCTGTAGAGTTTGTATGGCAGTGTAATTTGTGTGGGAGGGAACACACTGCTGCAAGGATTCACAGACCGACTCAACAGAGACTTAAGTACCAAGACGCCACCTGTAAGACTATTTTACTTACAATCACCACTATCATCATATTAATACAGCAGAACTAAATCCATTAATTTCTTAATATTGATATTTTTACCAGGACATGCATAATTATTTACATCATACAATTTGGTGAACATGAAACCCAGGGCCGGCGCTAGACATTTTTAGGTTTGGTGAAAATAGGCTATTGTCGCCCACTGGAAAATTATGGGAAAAGTTCAGAAAAAAAAAAATCGTAGCTCTAAATGAATGGCTGGCAAGCTGAAGAACTGGCGCTCAGTAGCGGAAGAGTTAATAATAACTCTAGACACTTTCAATAGCAATACTAGATTTTAAGTGAAATTATTCCTTCAAAACAAAAGGTAACAATACACTCTTGAAATTTTAATTTCGACATAACAAACTATATCGAATTTATGATTGCATGTGCGGCGTCAAATTTAATTTTTCCGTCTTTGGCAGTTTGGGCACTGTGGCCCCTGTGTGATGATCAGGTATCGTACCCACCTTGAGGCGGCCCTGATGAAACTTTTTATTAGAGTTGGCTCTTCTTGTTAAAAAGTCCATTCAAAATATTCCACTCTGTAATGAGCATGGAAAATGATTACCTATTTTGAAACTGACTAATAATTTTTGTTCTCGACCAAACGATTAAAATATTTATAATTATTTTGTAGTGAAAGCTTCTTTTTAAGTATAATCTATTTAATAATACTTTAAGGGTTTTTTTATTGTTGTTGTTTTTTTTTGTTTTTTTTTTACAAACATACCAAATAAATTAGATCTATAATTAATTAGAAACTCAAACACTTATTTCCAGTACCATAAAAACTGCTCGCTTGGGGTGTGGGTCAGCTGATATGGAAGGGGTATCAAAAAAAATATCAGGAAAAAGCTATCATTTCCAAAAATAGATTAACTTTTACAAATGTATTCTCTGATAACTGGCTCTTACAATCAGATCAAAGGTTGTTGTGTCGTTGGAGTTGATTGATCTGCTATTAATATTGATGAACTGGTTGATGTAACTGGAGATTGCATTATTTGAGTCCGATAATGATTTAATAATATTTCCAATGCTAAAAAATTGCTGTGGGTTAATTGCTGGCGCTGTGGCGAGTGATACTTATGGAACGGAGTTGTTTTGCCAGTTCTAAAAAATATAGGAACTTAAACTTCTACTTTACCAATCTATAAATATGTCAATCTGACCTTGCAGTGAGGAACATTAGGAAAATGAACTTTGGGAAAGCCTAATAAAAATGATAATTGACTAAAAATCAGAGTTGTAAAACATATAATTAATAATCAGTTGGCCAAAAGAAACAATATTATATCCCTACTATGTGTTCCTCAAAATTGATTTTTGTGATTGGACTACTCTTCATAAACTATTTTCTCTTTGACAGAGCATGAGATTGAAAGTCATTGCAGCCTCCAGTACTTCTGAGCGCAGATTTAGTAGTTGGATAGGGGGCTCCATTCTTGCATCTTTGGTAAGTTACATGTTCTGTATTACATTAGTGTCAAAGCTTCACATAAATGACATGATCAAAAATATACATTCACATTTCTCCTCTGTGTTTTAAATGAAAGTGTTTGTCAACAAGCAGGTTATTTGTATGAAGATGATTTATGTGAAAGGTCTGAATTAAGTCCTCAAAAAGCTTGAGCAAAGATTAAAGTCTCACCTGCTGAAACAGTTAACTAAAGCAATGCTTATTTCATCTGTGTCTTGGAATATCAATAATCTTATAATTATAATACTTACATTTGCTTTTGAGATGTATAATTCATGGCATACAATTTGTTGTGGATTTTCAAAGCTTCTTCGAAAAGCACAATAAGCAACAGATTGAATGTTGAGAATTGCATGAGGTTGGCATGAAAATTCTAACATAATTTTTTTTTTCTATTTAAATCATCCCCTTTAAAATATGTCATAAGTTTAAATTTTATTGAATATTAAATGAAAAATCTGTTTTCGAGGTTTTAATTTTACCTTTTTAAAGCCGTTTTAATATAAATTGGAGTCACTTTGCTTCCTTAAAATGGGCTCATGCCTTAGTAAAGTTTTGGAACCTGTGCTTTATCCTTGAACTTCATTTACAAGGCTACAGTTTATATCTGCTCGATATATAATAATAATAAAGTTTATTTCAAAAACACGCTTCATCCCCAAAGGCTCGAAGCGCGGTACAAAGTCGAGAAAAAAAAAGAAAAAAATATATAATTTACCACATTTAAAACAAACGAATCACTACAAAACTAATTACAAGCATACCCATACCAAGTCAAAGTCATTCTACCCATTTCAACCCTAAGCAACACAGCCAATATGCATTAGACGATCATCCCAGAAGGTGTTTGCGAAATAGATTTGTCTTTAATAAATCGGTTTTAAAGGACTCCAGTATCTGGTTGTTTCTGAGAGCGACAGGAAGGGCGTCCAAATTGTTGGACCAGCAAATGCAAAAGTGCGCTTTCTGTAGGTCTCAAGGCGAACACGTGGTGTCGAGAGTTTGCCAATATCGGATGAGCGGAGTTGTCTAGTGGGTACATTTTTCAGATAGGACGGTGCCAGGTCATGTAAGCAGCGGTAGCACAAAGTTGCAATTTTGTACTCTATGCAAGCATGTTAAAAAAATTTGTGAAATTTTTGTTTCAGCACTCCATTTTTAACTTGAAATAATTAAATTTGACTACTTATTAAATATTGATGTTGTAATTTATTTCCTGACCAGGGAGCATTCCAGCAGATGTGGGTGTCTAAACAGGAGTATGAGGAGGGTGGTAAACAGATAGTTGAGAGGAAATGTCCATGAGCCACTGTTATAATTATTTCTTTTACTGTAACCTCATTAAATACATATTTTGCTAGCATTTTTGTCCATTTACAAATATTATTTCATACATTTCTTGCATTGATAATGATATGCTTGACAAATGCTTCAGAATTGAACTACCTTGATGTAAAAAATTTGAATTAACATGTCATATTTGAAGACACTGTTGTAGACTTATCATTTCTTCAAGTATAGTAACCAATCTGTGTATGTTCAAATGTGAGTTCATCAATTTGTTGTTCCTTGGCAGTGAAAAATTGAAGCAATTACTTGTATACATTTCTGTTAATGTTTTATTTAATATCTAGTACTGTAGATTGTGCATTTTTGACAGGTCCTTATGATTATGACTTATATTTTGGAAAGCCCTTGAAAAATTTACATAAACCAATACATTTTAACAATTGTGTATGGTATCATAAATTTATATTCAAAGTATGTTGGCTGATTTTTGGATATTATGCACACTACAATCCCCAGAAAGATTGGGAGCTGTTTGCTTTTTTAAGAGTTAAGAGCATGATCTTTGTGCAAAACAAGGTAACACCTTACGTGTATTTTAAATTAACAAAGAACACATGATATTGATCAAGAATATTATTTTATTTGTGTTTACACTTTGATCCCAAACTGTTTTTTTTTTTAGTTCTATTTATAACATGATGGCACACACTCAAACGTACACACAAACACACACTAAGCTTGGAGAAGTTTGGAAAGAAATCAAAACCAGATCTTTGCCCCCAAAGGTCAAGGATCAATAACATAATAAGAGAGTGTATTATTAAATAAAGAAGGGGGAAACTGACAAGTGGAAATGGAACAATTATTGCACACAAAAATCCACTACATTATATTCATACACCAGGTGAAAGAAGAGGAACAAAAATGATACTACTACCCACTACACAATAATCGAGTAACTGATTAGATTTTTAAAATATAATTTCAAGACAGCTACCACAAATTGAAGCTACATGATAAAATCTACAATAGTTACCAAAGAATAATCAAATACATTAAGAAATACATCCTATATCAATTAAAATAATATGTCAATCTGGTTACTACTTTCAAAAAAAAAAATTCTTCGAAGGCAGCTTAGAATAAACGCTTACTTAACATTTCCAAAATTTGTAAATACCATCTTTCAACAAATAAATGGGACAAGATATTTTGCTTATCTGCCATCTTGATACATTTAAGCACTAATTGCATAAATATCTCCAAATGAAAACTTTAAATGAATAGAAATTGATTATTTTTAAGTCAGATTTCGACTGGCATCTTATCAAATATAAAAGTCTTTAAAACAGACTTCCTTTTAAGCTTCAATAGAGTTTTCAACTTTAATACAAATTTTAAACTCATTTACAATATTAAAATTAATCTTTACATGAAATTAACATTAACTTGCCAGTCCTGAAATGAATTGAGTGTCCATGTACAAAAATGACTGGGTGAGGGGTAGCTGTGACTAGAGAACAGTTTTAGTCATTAGAAGTACTGTACCTACTTATTTGATGGCTAACATTTGCCAACAATTGCAAGGAGCAACTAGTGAACATTTCCGCTGTTAACTTTGCACAAAGAGATAAGTTTGAATATCAATATCCTTTATTGTGAAAATGCATTAAATCTTTAAGCTTAGCCACCATTACAAAAATCAAGCTATGTTTATTAGTGGTCCTGTATAATTAAAAACTGTGATAAATTATGGCTGCATTATAGTCTGTTAGAATTTCTTTACTTTTAAGTACAAAATACACAAACGGACAGACAGTAATGAAAAGCTTGAATTATCCAACAAGACTAATAGGAGAAAAAAGTGTTCACTATTGACTACATGAGTAAAAATTGATTCTTACAGAGATAACTGCTAACAACATATAATGTAATATAATATATATTATACTGATATATTTATAGCAAATGCATTAAAATAACGCCAAAGAAAACAAATGAAAAAAACTTTACTACATTTACATGATTTAAAGAAAATTCCATACCAAAAGGTTTATCTTTCATTAAACAGAGCATGGGCATAAGAAAAAATGAAATGGATTATTGCCAGGTTACATGCAAAAAAGTTAAAATGTCTGTTGTCTGAATATATAAATGGGTTAGACAACAAAAGACTCTTTATAAAACAAAACAACAATCCTCAATAATGTTTACTCTTCTTCATTATATTATATCCATTATTTAGATTAATAAATTTTCTTTTTGTAAACCTGATTATCCCTGTTCCAATTTTGAAGAAAAAAAATTAATTTGTTTGTAATATTCTAATGTAATACAAGCTGAAGCTGTTTAGAATGTTCATATTTATTTCATTAACACATTTTATGGCAATAACGTTAAAACTGAAATTTTACCCAATTTTTTTTTTTTTTCATTCTCAGTAAAATAAAATGATGTGAGTCTTTTATTCCTAGGTGCATTTGCGTAAACAAATTTGTCAATGCCAGTGTTTCGGTGCAGTCCAATAACAAACTTAATGCCCAGCCTATTAAATTCATTCATGAAAAATATTAATTGTTAATAAAATACCTAGAAATGAAAAGACCTTTCAACACACAATAGAAATAGTTGGGATGAAATATCAGTGGACAAACAGCACTGGATCAAGTGTGAATAATGGAAAGACTATATTCAATTACATTTGTTGTAGCACAAAAAACAACCACATCATAGCAATATTTGAATAATTATTTATATAGCACAGTCCATTTAATATTTCACGGTCACAATACATAATAACCAACCTATGGATCACAAAATATTTACAAATTTCAAAATGTACCCGATTTATGCAAACAGTATTTTGAAACCATCAATGTAACAATAAAAATTGATAGAGCTGCTACATACCCCACAGCAGAGATTAGCCTCAAAGGTGAATTAGTAACACCGACTGCCAGTGTCTTTTATAGTGATTAACATTCTTCACAAATGAGATATTTACCAATCTGTCAATGAACTTTTATATCTGGTGTGGAACTGTTGCTCTAGAGCATAATACACTCACAATTTAGTATGTTTGCTAACATTATTGTTGCACAGAGACTATCATAAATACCAGTTTCTGGACTTAGATACTTGGAAATCATACAATGGCATATAATATATATATAAAACTTAATGTAATATATATATAATTAACATGGTGGTAAAGGAAAGGGTCTTCAAATTTGTTCGCTTAACAAAGGTTTTAAAAATAGAAATATTTTTTTTATTAAAGTATTAATTTAGATAATACTGGTTAATCTTTAACTTAAAATTGCATTAGAATTGTTCAGTCATACAAAGCAATAATTACAGAGGCCTTATTTCTTTATGTCCCTGTGTTCGTATTGTCATAGACCAGGCCTGCACAACTCAAAATGTAAGGCGGGCCGTAATACTTTATGAAAAATTTGTGCGGGCCAAAAGAAAATAGGACAGGGGAAAGCTATTAAGAAAATAATAGGAATAAATAATATTTCGTTACTCTACGGCCGCAAAGTGGGTGCTGGCGAGCGGCCTGCGGACCGTATGTTGTGCAGGCCTGTCATAGACCATTAGTTATTTCATGTCAATGTATACCAAAAGTAATTAGTCTCAAAGAGAATCAAAATGCTGGGATTGATCATTGAAAGTTCGAACCTGTTAAAACTGAAATCAATTCTAGTCTAGAAAGTGGTGATATAATAAAATTCCTAGTGCTTATGATGATCAAACTAAATCTTGGCGCCAATACACAAAATGTTGTTTTTTTAACAATAGACATGGAAAAATTGCTATAAATGTTGCCTTTCTCAATATTTAAGTCAAGTCTAATCATTTTTTCATAAACCTGTTAAAGTGCATTGAACTAAACTTGTTGGGCGTTTTAATAGTCTAAAGCAGACTTTCAATATTTACTGACTGACATTAAAGATTATTCGTCTTACCTGCTAAATATAGTTGCTGATTAAAATTTTGATTTTCACAAAAAGCAACACAAAAAAAATAATTAATGATATATAAAGTTGGATCTACTTACTGACACATGAAAAAGAAATGTTTCAGAGACAAGCACAAAGAAAGTACCAGTTTAAGATTAGGGTGGCCTTACTGGATTTCTGAGAGTGAACTTAACTGGAAAAAAGCCATTAAGACATGGCCATATTGTTTTGACTAGAGATTTCTTTTTAACTTACAGCACACCTGCCTTTAGAAGTACCTAAAAAGTGTGTAGTACAGATGTGATTATATTTAATAAAATTAAAAAAGATAATTTAAAAAAGATTATTCAAATTCCATATTTTTGTAGTTCATGTGGCAAATTTACAAAACAATATTTTAAACCATTTTGAAATACTTGATGGCACAATGGTTAAGAAAACACATGTTACACCAATTATGCAAAGTGTGTTAGATAGTCATCAAATGTTAACCCCATTTGAATGCATACTACTATTCTTATCTATTATAACAGCAACTTTATCATCTTTCATAAATCAATTGGTTTACTCTAAAAGAAAACTTGTTGGAAAAAAATTAAACTTTTCTATTTGCAGAGTTAAAAGTAGAGAAAATTTTGTCATTTAACATGCAAGCATAACTTTTTATTCTCTTAAACAGGTCAGCCAAAGAAAAAAACCTTGAGGAAAAAATTGGAAATTGATAACTTTGTTTATTTTCTTAAACTCCCACACTGAAATGTCCCTGTTCACAATAATTTGATTAAGTTTTAATGCAGTGTTGAATTTCTGTGTGATATACAATAACAAAAATAGACATGACAAAAACAAATTAATTGTCCATTGAACAAAATAATTGAGGAAAATAATAACAGATAAGAAGTATGGTGGTGATGGTATGCGTCAATGTCCATTTAAGTGCATGAGCTTTCTCACAGGGGATAAATATAATTAAAATAATTCAATACTCAAAAAGGAAATATCTGACTATGGCGTGATAGCTCACTGAAATTGTTTTTTAAGCAACTTTAACTAGATGCTTAATTTACCTCTAAGAAATAATCATGATTTTGTTTAATAAGATATTGAAAATTTTAAGACAACATGCTTGTATATACAGTTAACTGCTAAACTGTTAAAAATTAATTATACACTCTCTTAAAAATAAGTTGGGTTTTTTTTCCATCTGTTTACTAACTTTGACTAAAAAAAGAAAATTTACTATAAAATATATACTTAACATTAGCAACTAAAAAATAACAGAAAGAGAACAATTTTCTGTCAAATTATGCCATTCTTTGTTTTAGATTTATTCTTTGTAAATTTTTTAAAAATTTGTTTTATATAGTCACTATTTTAAGAGTGAACCCCTATGAAATTTAATAAAAGGAAATGATGGAAAAGTTTAATAAAACACAAATGGAACACAACTCAAAAGGAAGTATTATATTAGTGGTGTTAATGATTACTTCAAAGTTAAAAATAAAACCAAAATTTTAGATTTTATAAATTTTTTAAAAATAAATTTCTTTAAAGCACAAAAAATTTACAAAAAAAAGGGGTTGTTTTTTATGCTTGTAAATAAAGGAGAACAATTATGTAATTTAATGTTTCACTTGCAGACTACACCGGATACTAATTAACTATATACCAGATACTATGTAATTAAATATATATTTTAGTAGT